TCCGACGGATTTCCGACGGATTTTGCCGTCGGAAAAACCCGATTTTTTAGTAGTGATAAGCTTGAATACAATCTTTAAAAGCATAAACTCAAACCCAACAACATTCAATTTCAACAACTACCTTATTTTAACAAATTTAACCCCGACCTCAACTTTCAATGTAAAGAAGTCCTACTACTACTACTATATGATTATTGATTATAAGTGTTCCGTTGAGAAAAAGAGTTAAAATGAGACGCGTAAGAAGATGTCTCCACTTTTGGATGTACATTAGAATGAGATGCATTATGCACCAAATCAATCCATCAAGCGTGAGGCATGGATGGGTTTGAGATTGAAGATGGTCAAGGATCCAGATCTCTTTTCATGCTTCTCACCTTAATTCTACTTCTTAAATGATCTTTCACCTATTGATTATTGTCAATGAAGATCTTGCATGAATCACAACATTTAGAGTAAATTACATTTTTTGTCCTTGTGATTTGTTAACAAATATGACTTTCATCCATGTGGTTTTAAAATTATGGTTTCCATTCCTATGATTTGTAATCTATTATCATTTTCCTTCATAAGGCTACCTCTACCTTTAAATATGAGAGACGAAAACAAAATAGAATTGCAAATCACACAAACAAAAGCAACAATAAATTGTATTCTATAGGAATAAAAACCGTAATTTCATAAATACAATAACAAAAATAGCCTTTTTCAATAAACCATAAATACAAAAAACATAACTTACCCCAACATTTATGAAGCCTACAAAAAATTAAATCATGAAGCAGCCACCACATGACAGGTGGATTGACTGCGAATGAGTCTACACATTAGTTTATAACAAAACTTTATATATTTGTATATAGAAGTAATATCATGTAAGAATCGTAATTAAAATGAGAAGTACAAGAAATGATCTAAATTCTTGATCACTTTTAATTTTACTCCTACCATTAATTGCTTTATCATGGGAATTGATATGGTGCATTTTGGTGCACTGCATTAGTGTTGATTTTCAATTACGATTGATTCAACTGTAGTGATCACTTCTTACCCTCTCAAATTAACTTTCATTTTCACCGGGACTCAACCTTTTATACATATACACAAACTAGCTTATTATATAATACAGCTAAACAGAAAATTTAGAAAGCAAACATAAAATATATCTATTAAGCCCTATGAAGGGTCCGATACACTTGCTTAATTTATAAAGCAAACAAAAGAGCATACTTGCAAAATTTTTGAGAGTTGTTAAATATTAGAAAATATAACGAAGATCAACCAACAAACGGAAAGTAGTTTCTTGACATCAACAAATACCAAAAATAAGTCTTTTAAAATAAAGAAATACTTAAAAATCTCTTGAAATCAATAAAAAATTTTTAAAAATCTATAAAACCAAAAAATTCGAGGAAAAAAAACACATGATTGATCCATGGTAAAGATACACCTCTTGAATCTTCATTTTATTGGTGATGGATTTTGTTGGAATCATTCCCCATTTTTAGGCCTGATCTTATTTCTATTGTTTAAAACTGTAAATTTATGTATTAAAAACGGAGGGTGGTGAAGAACCAGAAATTTAAACGGACGTGTGTTTGTGTTTCGCATGATCTTTTTTAATCTCTTCTATTCAAACATTTCTTTCTTTCTTCTTCTAATGTTGTGAGGAATTTGTTCTTTTAGGAAAAAGAAAAGTCGGATCAGACAATGGATTTGCATCTTCATTTTAAATCAAAATTTTCATTTACAGTGAGCAATGGCAAACTGCTGGTTGTAAATCAAATCAAAGAAAGAAAAATAGGAAATACGAAGAAGAAACCCACCACAATCATGCACTAGATACCTCATTTATGATCAGTTTCAAAAACCAAATGCTGCCATGAATCTCAAATCTTTCAGTCTCTATAGAACAATGTCTTCTTCCTTGTGCCTAAACCTATAAATACACACACACACACATATATATATATATATACACACATATATATTACCTGTTTTTCTTTCTTGAAAATGGCACCGAATTGGTGGGTGAAACCGGTGGTGGTGAAGATGGAGAACCCAAATAACTGGTCAATGGTGGAGCTTCATCAAGTTCCATCTGCAGAGGATTTCCTAAATGATAAGCGACGTGGTCGTAACAAGAACGCGAAACAGCTGACATGGGTTCTACTTCTCAAAGCTCATCGTGCCGCCGGCTGTATTACATCCATTGCCTCCACCACATTCTCCCTCTCTTACGCCGTTCGCCGCCGCGTGACATCTGGCCTCACCGATACAGAAACTGACATCGGAAAACCCGTTACAACATCCATACGTTTTTATACTTGCATAAAGGCGTGTCTTTGGCTATCTGTTATATTACTAGGGTTTGAGATCGCTGCTTATTTTAAAGGCTGGCAATTCCGACCTCCTGATCTCCATTTACAGTATTTATATACATTAACAAACCCATTTGCTTTTAAGGGTTTTTTTGATTGGATTTATTCGAAATGGGTTTTGATCCGTGTCGAGTATCTTGCTCCACCGCTACAGTTTGTGGCAAATGTTTGTGTGTGTCTGTTTCTGATTCAGAGTTTGGATAGATTTGTGCTCTGTTTGGGTTGTTTTTGGATTCGATTTATGAAGATAAAACCCATTTCAAAACAATCCCTACCTGATCTTGAATCTGGCGATGGTGATGGCTTTTTCCCTATGGTTCTTGTACAGATCCCCATGTGTAATGAAAAAGAGGTAACTTTCCTTCAAATTCCCATTTGCTAATTTTAATGAACACTGATCAAGTTGCTGTTTTATGTTAAAGTATGAATATTTTTCGAATCAATTCTCTGAGAACTTGAATACTGATTTGCTAATTAATGGAAAAGGGATAGTATCTTTTTAGTTTCCTCTTGAACTTTCTTGGTGAACATTGATCAATTTGCTGTTTTTTCATTGAAGTATGAACCTGTTTGTTGGGTTTTGAATCATTAATCTGAAAAACTTGAATACTGTTCTGCTAATTTATGGAAAAAGGATAGTATCTTTGTAGTTCCTCTTGAACATTCTTATTAGACATTGATCAATTTGAAGTATGAATCTTTTTTGTGAAAATTTGATTACCCATTTGCTTATTTGTGAAAATTTGAATTACCTATTTGCTAATTTGTAAAAAGGTTGGGAATTTTGGAATAGCCATTTGCCAGCTTGCTGATGTTCTTGTGAAAGTATGAACAATGTTGTCAACTTTTGAACAACAATTTGAAATACCCATTTGGTGATTTGTTCAAATTTGTCTAAATATTGTGGATATCTTTTGTTAGGGCGTGCTAACTTCCTTTGAAATTGTTGTGTTGTGAATTGGTGGACATATTCAGGTATATCAGCAATCAATTGGGGCAGTCTGTAGTTTAAATTGGCCAAAATCCAAGATCTTAATACAAGTTCTGGATGATTCAGATGATCCGACAGCCCAATTGTTGATCAAAGAGGAGGTTCATAAATGGAAACACAATGGTGCTAATATTGTTTACAGGCACAGAGTGATTAGAGATGGATATAAAGCTGGTAATCTTAAATCTGCTATGAATTGTAGTTATATTAAAGATTACGAATTTGTTGCTATTTTCGATGCTGATTTCCAACCCTCCCCTGATTTCCTCAGAAGAACAGTTATTCATTTTAAGGTACTAGATTATGTTTGTGTAATTGTGTGTTTTAAGATAATTTAAACCATGTTTGGCAACAATAAGTATAAGCTACCTGCTACCTTATTCTTTGAGAAAACTCTATTTGATACGCCATAAACTAGCTTAAAGTTGGCTTTTTGAAAAACTAATAAGCACGAGGGGATTTTTTCCAATTATGACCTTATACGTTAGAATTGGATAATATTTCAACATATCTTTTTAGGTCATTTTACATTATCATCTAGCTTATTGGTTAGTTTTTACCAAACCTGACTATTTTATAAGCCAAGAACTACTTTTTCAGCTACCAGCTAGCTTATCAGCTAACAACAAACTTTTTCAGCTAGTTTACCAAACATGGTCTTGTAATGGGCGTGTGTCATTTGGTTAAATTGAGAATATGATTGAAATTTATAGGATAATGAGGAATTGGGATTGGTACAAGCACGGTGGTCGTTTCTGAACAAGGATGAGAATCTACTAACGAGGCTACAATATATTAATCTCGCTTTCCATTTTGAAATTGAACAACAAGTGAATGGGATTTTCTTCAACTTTTTCGGGTTCAATGGGACAGCGGGAGTGTGGAGGATCAAGGCATTGGAGGATTCCGGTGGGTGGTTGGAGAGAACCACCGTTGAAGATATGGACATTGCTGTTAGAGCTCACCTTCATGGATGGAGAATGATCTTTCTCAATGATGTAGAGGTAACAAGTTTGACTTTGAAAGTCAAACCCTGTATTTCTTAAATTTCGAGATTATTATGTATTTTGTTTAAAATTTTTACCCCAATTATCTTTCTATGGTGCACTTACCATTATCACTACATAAGTAAGAGCTTACTCATACAAACTCTGAAATTGGAAGTAGTTGGTTTGACCATCAAAGTCAAATATAACACATCTTGTACAAAACAAAGTCCATACTTTTTATTGAACCAAATGAGGCCAATATATGCCACTCGAAAGTAGGGTTTGTCCAAAGGGCCTTTGGCCTAGCAGTATTCGAGCTCATCCTCCTCGGAGGTCAAGATTTCAGACCTTACCAAATAAGACGAGGGTGTATGAGTTTATTTTCTGTAAATAAATATTATATACTTCAAAAAGAAGTTAGGGCCGAGGGTGGGAATATATGCTGACCTGTCATTTGCCCGAAAACGTTATTACTGAGGGTTGAATTAATTCTTATATAAGCGATTTTGGATCCCTTGATTGAACACATTTTCTTTGTGGCTTGTAAATGTTGCTGTTTTATGAACTTTTAGCCACACTCATTTAAATCTTATATGAAGAAATTATACATGTATATGTCAGATGATATTTTAGGGGCTGTTTACCAAATGCTTATCTGGTTACCGAGTCACTTATCTTACCGGATAAACATGGCAAGGACTGAGAATTTTACCCGGTAGGAGTGATGCCGATGATCGAGAGTCTTACCTAGTAAGTGGGGATGATGACATTCACCCAGTTAGCACTTACCGGATAAATTGTTGCATACGATGCCATTTTGATGGACTAGAATCCACCCAACCGTAAGGTAAGGGAGACTATTGACTCTCACTGGTAATCGCTTACCGGGTAAGAGTTTGGGTAAACGGCCCCTTAGCAGGAGGTCTTCATGGAAACAATCTCTCTACTCTCTGCCCCCAAACCTTGTCTCTATATCCCCAATGGATTTGTTTTGTTTGGTTTGATACTTATGTGAGAAGATATGTTAGCCGTCTTCACGAAAACATCTCTACCCTCTGGGTAGAGGCAAGGTCTACATTTCTCAACCCCCGGATCATACATCTGATTTGGGATATACTGATTTGGTTTGGTTTGGTTTGGTTTTTATGTCATAAGATATGTTAACCGCTCCCTGGGTGGGTCTTTATAGAAACAACCTCTCTACTCTCTAGGGTAGAGCAAGGTTTGTGTACGTCCAACCCCGAGACCTGACAGTTTGGGAATATTAGTTGTTGCTAATTTACTCCATTTATTTTCATTTCATAGTGCCAATGTGAGTTGCCTGAATCGTATGAAGCTTACAGGAAACAACAACATAGATGGCATTCAGGACCTATGCAGTTGTTTAGGCTTTGCTTGCCTGCTATTATCGAATCAAAGGTATGCATTATTTTTAAAGCATACATACGTATGAATTTGCTTATCCCAAGTTCTCGAATTAAAAGTTGCTTATTGTAAGAATACAAAAAATGACCACCTGATTTCTGTCGAGAAGATTCTGTTACTATCAGCACGAGATCGTTTTAGAAATTTGATCAATAATCAACCTCTTTAATCAAGGAAAGGAAACAACCGTTCCACTCTTTGTGGCAGAGGGTAGACGTCAAGTTTGGATCTTGAATTATATGCTCGTCAACTGTGTTCTGAAAAGAGAACACGTTTTCATCTATCATTTCGGATTAATGAGTTATAATGACCTTGATTTGGTTTTTATTTTGTGGGTCCCATCTTTGCATTCCATAATCATATCTACAAAATGGAAATGATAAATGATGAAATATTTGGTGTTATGCAGATTAGTATTTGGAAGAAATGGAATCTGATATTTCTCTTCTTCCTGCTAAGGAAACTTGTCCTGCCCTTTTACTGTTTCACCCTCTTCTGCATCGTTCTCCCGATGACGATGTTCGTTCCCGAGGCCACTCTCCCATCGATCGTTATTTATTATGTTCCCGTCACCATGTCGTTTCTCAACATCCTCCCTGCCCCCAAATCTTTCCCCTTCATCGTCCCTTATCTCCTCTTCGAAAACACAATGTCTGTAACCAAATTCAACGCCATGATCTCGGGCCTTTTCCAACTTGGAAGTGCCTATGAATGGGTCGTCACCAAGAAATCAGGCCGATCATCGGACGGCGATCTCATATCGTTAATCGAGAAAGATCCTAAACAGAACTCGAGAGGGATTTCAGAGCCGGATTTGGAGGAGTTGCAGAAAAAGATGAAAAAAGAAGAGATGAAGGCTTATAGAAATAAGAAACACAATAGGGTTTATACAAAGGAGTTGATGCTGGCATTTCTTCTCTTGACGGCTGCTGCTCGGAGTCTTTTAGCGGCACGGGGAGTCCATTTTTATTTTTTGCTATTTCAAGGAATCGCGTTCTTTCTTGTTGGGCTGGATTTGATCGGTGAGCAGGTCGAGTAAAAACACCGTAATTTGAACTGTTTGGTTGTTAAAAAGATTGGTTTTTGGTATGCAAGTTACCGTAACAAGCAAATGATCGGTCGCGGGATGCAACCGGAAAAGAGGAAGCCGGTTGGGGGAAGGTAATCGGAGATAGACGATTGTTTTTTAGTTGAATGTGTTGAGATAGAGGGGAAGATTAGATTGTTCATGTGTAGGAGTGCATCTTATTTAGGTACTTTTATTTGTTAGTCTAAATTCTTCCATGAAATAGACATTTTTTTGAGGTCGAAAATGTGGACCACTTAATTTGAGGTGTCTTTTAATGCCCTAAAAACAAATTTACGACAAATATAAAATGGTTGTGATGACTAGGTTAATGTTTGTGTTTTGACTTTTGAGGGGTCAAGTATGGGTTCTATTTTTGTTTTATAGCTCTTTGATTGGTTTTTCATTAAGGGGTTGTTTACTTGCGGCTTAATTAGGCTTATCGACCTATCTAGCTTATTCGCACAGCTCATTTGGGTTGTTTACTTACGGCCTATTCGCACTGAACATGGCTTAATCGCACAGTTAGAAATGATGTGTTGTCTCCATTCAGCCACAAAAATGATACCTCTACCCCTTATTTAAAGCACCAAATCCTTTCCATATGAGACACTTCATCTTCGGCCTTTTTATGATTTTTTTGTTTTGATGTTCAAATCATTAATATTGGGGGTAAATCGGTTATTTATGTTATCCAGACTGTTGTTTCAGATAAAAAAGGTAAACAACACTTAGGTAGCGTTTGTTTTTTAAGAGGTTCTGAAGTCTGATTTCACTTCTGAATTTTAAAAGGTGGTACTGAAGTCTGAAGTCTGAAATTTGAATCAGTCAGACTGTTTGTTTTTACGTCTGAAATCTGAAATTTAAATCAGTCAAGTTTTGGATCTGATAGATTTGGATCGATCTGGGTCATGATTTTACGAAAATATGTGGATCGATCTGGGTCGTGATTGATTTGGAGATTGAATGTCTTGCGAGATAGATTTGGAGGACTAAATCTGGAGGTGAGGATGGAGGGGAGAGTCTGGAGGGAGCGATTAAGATGATTTAAGTGATTATGTTATCACTTTTTTTTCAGAGCAAATTAAGAGCTTTTCAGCTCTTATTTATATAAAAAAAACAAACGGTCTGAAAATAAAAACGTCTGACCGGTTCAGACTTAAGAGGCATTAAGTGGTTTTTTTCAAAAAAAAAACAAGCCCTTATTTATCCAGACTGACAAAATTTATCCAGATAGACAAATTTATCCATACAGGACTTAATAAAAAATTTGATAAACAACCCCCAAGTCTTATATGGATAAAGATGTCTATATGGATTAATTTGTTTATACCTTGTTATTTGTTTGTTGTGCTGAATAAACGGTCTGAATGTCACAAATGACTATTTTAGTCCCCAAGCAATGATTTACGTAACTGTTTGGTAAATGTGCTGAACAGTTGATCTGTACATTGAAGTTTTAAAATATATTTTTTTTCATCCAACATGATTATATGAATTCAATGATATAATTATAACAAAATTTAATAAGTATTTGTAATTAAAGTAGATAAAATCATAGCTTGGATACAAGTCTATTTGTAACAAAATTGATAAGTACTTATCAAACAAAATGATCCAAATTCAATACAAACTTCATAATTTTAAGCATTAGATACTAGTTAATTTCCAATTTATTCATGTAAAGTAGTCATATATTGCATGCTATTAGCACCTCATTGTGTCCCATCTAATGTTGTTTATCCACTTCCAACTTCTTTTCATTGGTAAACATAATGTCTTCATTCCACCTCATAAATAGTTGATCTTGAATATTGCATTTTCTTATGAAATTAAGTATTGCAAAACAAGCAACTACCAAATTCATTTGTTTTAAACGGAAAAGAGGTCATCTGCTTTAAGATTGGAAATCTTGCTTTCAATACACCGTAAGCACGTTCAATAACAATAACGTTCCTTCGTTGCGCTTGTGCATGATTGAACCGTTCCTCCTTAGATAAAGCATGTCGACATCGAAAATCTGCTAACCAATACCTTGTGTTATGGTATGGAGCCAAAAATCCACGAGCATTGGAATACGCAACATCACAAAAATAATATTCACCTGCAATGATATGCAAACATGAAAACATTATTTCAAAATAAAAAAACTTCCTAAAATAATTAAAAATAAGACTTTTGCTAATTGTGTTTGGGAACATAAATCAATCATGTATTCAGCTAATTTTCAAGTAATTTTGAGTTTTGATGAATCAAATTCAAACAGTTGGAATCTGAGTGGTATGCAACATATTGATGTTCTTGAGGTTATCACATCCTTATCTAAGATAGTTGGAACTTTGGATTGTTTATCGTGTTTCAAAGGGTGCTTGTCACATCAAGTGTGTACAATACTTGGTTTTATCGCACTAAGTGTGTGCGACACTTGGTTTTGTTGCAGGAGTTATGTGCAATAGTTGACTTTATCGCAACAGTCTTATGGGATAGTTGACTTAATAACAGCAGAGTTGTGCGATAGTTGACCTTGCGCATCCTAAAGCCTGCATTAACCTTGTTGCATCTTGAAACCTGTGATAGTTGATCTTGTCGCATCATATAGTCTGCGATAGTTGGCCTTCAAGCTTTCAAGTGTTGACTTTTGGTCAAAGTTTGACTTTCAACTAAAGTTTCAAATTGTTCTAAATGATTACCGTTTAACAATCAATTAAAGTTTATAATCATGTCTAGAGAAGCCATTGCAATTGGGTCAGATCAGAAACCTAGTAACTATGCCAAATAATGCAGCAAACCGGTGGTGAGGAATTCTGAGTACTATAAAAACAAAATGCTTCTAGCCAAGAAAAAAGTAGGCAAAGCTTTAATGGAAAAGGATGATTATTGGGTGAGTTTGATAGATAATGAAATGGATGCTCCAACTTATATATGCTTCATGGCAAATAATAAAGAGCAATATCTGTATGATAAGGATTCTGAATGTGCACTTGAGGTAGATTCTAATCCTTATTCTCTATTTGGGAACAACTTAATGAAATGATGCTCAAAATATAAGTTTGAAGTTAAACTCAAAAAGGAAAGAACTTTGGTTGTTGGAAAACAAACTGAAAAATGAGTATGAGTTAGTTTTGAAGTTTTCTTTTGAGAAAACTCAAGCTCTCTACAAAGCTTAATTGCTTTAGAAGTGAGCAAGAAAGAAATTGACATAGAAAATGAAGATATCTTAGAAAAAGAACTTTTGAATTCAGAAAGTGAGTGTAGCAAGAATGTAATTAAATATGATTCTTTGTTTGCTGAAAGAATGAGCTTTGTGCAAAAATCAAGGAAGTTGAGGATAAGTTTTTTTGAAAAGAGATCAAACTAATCAAACTATTCATCTGAATAAACCCAAGGAATTTAAACTTTATAATCCAGAAGAGGGTTTAGGATTTGAAAATCCAAAATGTTAGACAAAAGACATTTCTCAAGCTCCTACTATTTATGATATTAGGCATATGGGTTATGGTTACAAAATGATTTTTACGAAGTCATTTGAAGAATATGAAGCAAGAGAAGATTTCAATAGGTCGAGAACTGATAAAATGCAAGCTCCTCTTGTTTATGATAAGATAAATGAAGGTTACAAAACGAGAAAAATCACTCTTTCTGATGATTACTTTCGTAGTTATTCTAAAGAGGAACTCTCTCCAAAACCTAGTGTTACTCAAGTTGGTATTTGAAATTCAAAAGATAACAGTTCTTTAGAAAAAAAAATCTGAACTTGAAAAAGATCTTGAGAACGAAAGGAGTATGAGTTTTGAAGAAAGAAATCAATTTTTAAGAAAAATCAAGGAACTAGAAGATGTTATCAAATCTCAAATTAAAAAAAATTCTTGAACCAAGTGTGATATTATCTGATAATATTGCAACTGATTCAAAAGCTTTTACTTGTAAAGCTTTCGTTGGAAATATCTCTTGTGATTCAATGACTTCAACATCATCAGTTGATTTTGTTAAATCTGAAACTAAAGCAGAATTTGATGATTTGATGAATGTTGAAGTGAATTTAGATGATGAACGTGGCTGGTTCTTTAGAAAAGTCCAAGTCTTCTTTTCATTTTGAAATGAAAAACAAAGGAAAAGAAAAGGTAATTCCGGCAAAGATTTACAAAGATGAATCTTCAAATAGTTTTTCTAAGATTGTCCCTCATAATACTTACTATTCTTCTAACAAAACAAAGAGGTATTCTTAGAGATATCAGAAGTACGAAAATTTCTCCATATTGCGTACTCACTACACGAGCAATTCTGACTCTGGTTCTTCTGATGTTTCAAATAATCATTTGAAAAGAGTGAAAAATGTTTGGGAATAAAGAAGTCCACTGGAGATGTAGATGTGTCAAAATCATTTGACCATGATTGGGAATTGTTTGATCGTCTTTCTCTGAGGAAGAGCACTGTTTCGGTGCGGGCCGCGAGAGCGGTACCAAATCGAGGCAAAACTTCTGTCGCTCCATCCCCGCAGGGGCAGAGAACCCGTCGCTGTCTCGGCTGTGCTACCGGAGGCTCTGGGGTTTTCTAATTCTCATGTGAAGGACAAAGTTTTTCTTGATGATACTTATGTTAAAACTAATGTTAATTATCCTTTTTCAATGTATTCCATAAAACATCTGATCAATTTATCTTAAGAGAAACTTTGTTGTTCTTATTGTGGAATGAATGTTTTTGTTTGTAAACAGTATGTCCATAACTGGTATGGAACTTATAAAATTTCTACCCATATAGTTAAAGATACTGCACCTAACAAGTCAAAACCCATGTTCAGATAGATATCTAAAACTACTTAATCTGTTTGTCAGGCCGGTCATGTGTGGTACTTAGATTCATGATGTTTAAACCACATGACTGGAAGAAAAGAAATTAAGACCAACTACACTGAAAGATATGCGCGTTTTGGGGAGTGGAACTGGTCTTTGAATGTGATTTTTTTGGATAATATTTTGAGAGAGATATAAAAATTGAATGAAAAATATCTTTTTTTTAAGTTGTGCAAGTATGCAAGTTTTACAAGGATTTTAATATCGTTTGTGCATATTTATAGGGGGGGGGGGGTGTGTGAAATAAATGATTTTCAAAATTTTTACTTACCCAAAAATAATTTTTTGATTTAAAATACATCATTTATGGGGATGTATATTTTTGTTGAAAAATTTGTGCTGAAAATCAGTTAAAAGTTCAATTTAATTTTAAACTGATAGAATTTGATTTT